CTCGGGCTCCGCATCCCTGGTCCAGGCTCCGGGATCCGCGGCCGGAGGGGCCGGGAGCGGCTCCGGGCCGATCGTATGTCCGGGGGGAGCGGCCGGCACGTGGCTGCGTGTGCGAGGCCGTGCCCACGGCTCAGCGTGGGAAACTCCCAAGCAGAGGCGGCGCTCAGACGTGGACAGAGCCACCGGATCCGGTGGTTTCCACCTGTGGTTGGCTTGTTTTTTTGTGTGTTTTTGTTTTTTCCAATTTAAAACAACCGGTTGTATTTGTTTACAGAAGACAGTATTAAAGAGTGGGCTGCCAGGGGGGCATGTATTGAAGAGAGGGGTGTGGGCTGCTCTGCAGACCTGGGTGGGGCAGGAAGTAAGGTTCAGGGTGCACGCTGGCCCCGCGGGCGGGTGCAAAGATGTGCCCCTTGGTTTCAGGAACCTCAAGCCCTCCAACATTGCCCTGGTGGGCACCAACCACTGCAAACTGCAGGACCTGAGCTGCAACGCCCTGATGACCCACAAAGCCAAGTGGAACATCCGGGCAGAGGAAGGTGGCCGGGGTCCCCAGCAGGGACCGCGGTGGCGGGGAGCAGTGGGGGAGGGGCAATTCACGGGAAGCTCATTGCTCCCAGAGTCCAGAGGGCAGTGGCCACTCTGGGTGCTGGAACAAGGCAACATCAAACCTGTCCCTGCTCAGGAGGTCCCCACAGACTCCTCCTAGGCTAAGGAGACTGAACAGCCCTGCCTGGGTTGTAACTGAGCAGGCATTCCTCCACGGGGGAGGCATGCAGGCCCCAAAGACACCCAGAAAATATTAACCTTCATGGAGGGAGACGAAAGGAAACTCAGGTAGAGGTGGAAGCCTGGTGCGGGCCAGGCACTGGCTAGTGATGGGTCACTTTGCTAAGTCCTAGTGGAACCCAGGAGGTGGGGGAGGTGGGGAGTAGGCGACATGAGCTCTCCTTTGAGAAGTCAACGGGGCAAGGGACCGGGCTTCTAGCCTCTAACAGCTGTCAGGGCCGGAGGGAACACCACAGGGGAGAACTCCAGAGTTCTGGGGTGTCCAGTAGTGCTGCACTGGCCTCCTGTCCTGAGTGCACAGGGGATGGATGGATGGATGGATGGACAGGTGAATTGATGGATGGCTAGATAGGTGGGTAGTGGACAGGTGGGTGAATGGACGGGTTGGTGGATGGATGAAAAAAACAGGTGAATAGATGGATAGAAGAATGGATAGGTGGATAGATAGACAAGTAGGTAGATGGACAGGTGAACAGATGAATGGATGGGTAGATAGATGGATGGACAGGTGAACAGATGAATAGATGGGTGGATGGATGGATGGGTAGATGGACAGGTGAATAGATGGGTAGATGGATGAATGGATGGGTGGGTGGGTAGGCGGACAGGTGAATAGATGACTGGATGGATGGATGGGTGGGTGGGTAGATGGACAGGTGAATGGATGGGTGGGTGGGTGGATGGCTGGCTGGGTGGGTGGGTAGATGGACAGGTGGATGGATAGATGGATGAATGGATGGGTGGGTGGGTAGAATGGACAGGTGAATGGATGTGTGGATGGATGAATGGATGGATCTTCTGGAGGTAGACGGTGGACTCCTTGGAGTCCACCCTCTGCTGTTTGGCTGGGGGATGGAGGTGCAGAGAGGGAGAGACTGGCTGAGGACCCTGCTCAGTTGGCTCCTTGTCGGGGTTCAGGTGTAGAAACAAGGGGGACAACTGGAACTGTGCCTCCAGGTCCTGATGTTTAAAGGGACAAGATGTTTAAAGAGGGTGCAGATTTCAACCTTCTCCGGACCACTGCAGCCACCGTGGGCCAGCCTGTGGGCCTGCCTGTGG